GGCATATGTCACTTCCACTCACATTCAATTGGCCAAAGTGAGTCATGTGGCCAAACCGGATATCAGTGGGCAGGGGAGGAAGATTCTCCTACAAGGGCAGACCAGCCATATGGCATCAGGTAGGGATGTGAAATCCTCTTTCAGAAAGAACAGTGAATAATCGGGAGCAATAATTCAATCTATCACCGTTCCTCTTCTCTCTTCTTTTCCTCTCCAACTTCTTTTATGTTGTCAAGCCAGAAACTCTTTACATACTCCTTTAGAGCTACTCTTAAGTAGTCTTCAGTGCCTCGCTGTTGATTTTAGAAGCTGAAAGCCACTAAGCAGCACTTCCATTATTATGACTAAACAAATATTCTTCACCGCAGAGCCAAAGAGCCCGCATCATGCACCACTGTTCCAACGGCAGACCCTGTGTGCTTAGAGCCTTTCTTACATTCCACCACATGCTCAAAATCAGGCCACCTTTTTGGACAGCTTCATGTTTAGGCTATCTCTTTTATAAGAAACGTGTTGTTTTTCCCAGAAGTTTCCAATTATGTTTCTTTTTTCTTATTGATAGAAGAAACATTTGCCTTCTACATCATATCCCCCATATCCTCCAAATTCCTTCCCTCTTCATTTATTGTTTAGACTCTGTTTTCTTTTGGAGCCTGACGACCTTCTGACCTGACGGGACAAGCTGCTTCATTTTTGGATCTTAATGCTTTGCATGGCTCTTTGTCTGTACTGCAATCACTAATTGCCTTCTGTTTCATTCGCGTGGTTTTTTGGCTTGCTTTCTGCTTTTCATTCCAACCTTATTTATTTATTTTTTTTATTTTGCAGTGTCCCAATAATACTGTCAACTCTGTGGAATGTCCTTCGCCCATGTCACCTTCAGAGACCTCTTTCCTTCCACTCTAATGAAAAGTGATTACTCTCTTGTCCTGCTGAACGATTTCATCCTGGGGTTGCTTTTCGTGGCTACTCTGTAGAGGATCCATTGTTTCCTGAATCTCAAATCTCCTTTCTCGGTTTACTCCCTTACTTTGTTGAAAAACATCTTCAGCAACTACCTTCAAAAGATTTAGTGGGATGTAAACATCCTTGGTCCTTGCATCCACAGAGCTACTTCGCTTTTATATTGAATAAAGGCACGGGACCAGATGATCTCTAATGCCTATTCCAGGAGTATAATTCTAGTCTATACGTATTCGTGGACAGCGTACTCTTTCAAAAAAGACATTTAAGATGGTTGCTGCTCCCAAGGAATTTAAGATCTACTTAGATAGTCAAAGAATAAAGTCTCAAAACAGCAACAAAAAAATCTATGATACAGAAGAAGCCAGGAGGTAGGACATGATTAATCATCTGTTCGAGTCTTGGGCCTCGAGTAAAGAGAGAGAGAAGAAGCTGAGCCAGCCTGTGGTGCTCTAACTGGGGAAACAAGACTTTAGCAGCATCAAAGAGTAGGCAGTGTGTTAGGGATAGATTGTCCCTATCAGACGTCCTGAGCCCACAGGAGTGGCTAAAGGTCAATGGAGGCCCTCCTCCATTCAACTTTACCTGTCACTGAGATACCAACATTTTTGTTTCACCAAATCAAGATATAATTTTTAAATATAAAAGTATAATGATACCCCGAACACTAGACAAACTCTCTGGCCATTTGGGGGCATAACAATGAACTTTCATTACATGTATGAATAATTGTGTATATACTTATAAATGCCCTACTTGCTGGAACACAAAGGGTGGTCTTTATTAGAGTTTCACTGAATAGTAGGTACCAAGGGTGGTCTTTATTAGTAGAGTTTCACCAAATGGGACTCGAGGTGACTCTCTTTACTAATGTCCATTTGTAAAAATTGTTTTTCATCGTTTCAGTGAGGAGTCAGAGTGATTGCAAGTCACTTCTCCTCTCCAGCCACTCCCCAGAAGAGGGCACATCCCGCTCACGATATGAGTGTTATCCTGCGAGCACTGTTGCTTGGGTGGAGAAGGCGCTGGGGAATTTTAAGGATGCGGCTTCTTCACGGCAGGTCCTGCCAACTGGATGGACCTGAGGCACCTACATCAGAGAGGAAAAAATAAAAAACAGCCTTCATTCAGCAAGGACTGCCCTCTCATCCAATCTGCAATCAAGAAGAGGATTTGCAGGGAAGGAAGTTTCCAGAAAAAAAGAGATCTTTGGGCCAGTGGTCTGAGCAGTTTCCAGAGTGGGAGTATAGTGTGGATGGCAAGTGCTTAGGCCATGTGATAGATTTTCTCAGCAAGGTCTAACCTAACACTGCTCCCTCCGGGAGGCTTTCTCTGACTGCCCCCCTTCCCTCACCCCCAGGAAGAATCAACTGCTGCAACACTCTGTTCCTGCTGCCATCTGAGCACTTATCAAATTCAGACAAAGTTGGTGTCAATTTTCCTCAACAGTCTATGACATCCTGACTGATTTATTCATCATCACAACCCCAGTCAGTGCCTGGCTTGTGGTAGGTGCCTGTGTCGGTCAAATGAATGAGTGAATTGAAAGAAGCTGCATTTCATCAAATGAATATTCAGTTGTCCCAGGAGCTTCAGATAAGCCAGGAGGCCTTGGAGAAGTGGATGTGGGCCAAGCAGGGGATTTCCAAGAGCCAGGGCCATTTAACCCACTCCTAGAGAAGGGGGCAATAAAACCACCTGCAAGGTTGGCCTGAGCTGTTTAATTGCCTGGAACTCCACTTCGGGTGGAGAGGGGAGCAGAGAGCCTTTGCTCCTGAGTGGTCCAGAGGGCAGTACTGCTCCAGCTGCAGCAACCCCCACCCAGAGATGAGAGCAGTGCTCAGCTCTGCAGAAGAGCAAGACCGACCCACCATCCTCGGAGAGCTTCCTATGCACCAGACACTGGGCTTTACGTAATCATGTTTCGTCGTCTCAGCAACACCAAGAGATAGGTGTGCCTGACTTACAGATGAGAACCACTACCAAGAATCAAGAATCCCTCATTCTGTGTGGAGAGGAGCGGGAGCCTGTTCACTCAGTAAACTGTACAATAGCAATCAAAGCAAAATGGAAAAAAAAGAAGCCAGGATTATGTCACTGAAAATTCAGAAATCTGTGCACCTAGAGCTCACCTGTTACATTACTTTTGTAGTTTGCATATCTTCCCTTTATTTTCTCCTGGTTTCTTATAATGATTTCTTTGGTTGTTTTACAAAAATCCCATAGGATTCTGATCTCACAAAGGGAAAAGCTGGATCCCTAGGGCAAGGAGCCAGGGGGTCAGCAGAAGGGACGCCATGCAGCCGATGCTGTCAGTGCAGGAGGGCCAAGGCTGGGAAAGGCACCTAGTGAGGGGAGACCCAGGAGAGCACACACAGGTGCATGGGTGGGCAGCTGCTGTCTCCTGGGGCTAGTCTCCCACCAGGTGGTTTCCTCGTGCAGCAGTGACTTGGTGCAGCCCCTCTCACCTGGCACCAATGCATTTGTTTCCTCAAAAGACCATAGGGTGGCATTTACCTCACCATTAAAAAAAGAAAAAAGTGACGCAAGATGCATGCATGCCGGCTCAGGAGGATCTTCACAGCCGCCAGTGGGAGGGGCAGGCAGTCTCTTTTTACTCCAGCAGGTGGGAATCTCTGATAAAACTAAATTAACATCAGCTTGCCTCCTGGCAGTGTCTAAATGTGCAAAGAGAGTTGATCTGATGACACCAACCGGGGGCACAGGCAGCTGGAAGCATCCCAGAAGAAAGAAGCCCAACTAAAGACCACCTAACTTACTGCTCAGATAGGCTGCGGCCCGCAGCAGCCCCTTGGGGTAGAAAGACAAGCAAACTCGAAGAGGAAAGTGAACGGGTCCTGCGTGGGTGGCCGTGGCCTTGGCTATCACCGCAGCAGAAGCCTCTGCTGAGCAGGCTAAGAGCAAGGAGACCGTGAGAAAGGCCAAAGTCAAACTGAAAACCCCTTCCAGCTGGCCTCTGCTCTTGGACACTGGGAGCCATACGTTGGCAACTGGCTCGCGGACAGGAACAGGCTTTCTCCCGGAGAGGGCAAGGGGGCGCCTGCCTCTTCGGCCGAGCACGGAAGAGGGGGGCACTTCCCAGCACGCAGGAGCAGCCGGTGCCAATCTGGAGAAGGGGAGGGGCGTGCAGGCAGCGACCTGGGGGTGGAGTTAGGGGAGGGAGGGTCAGGAAAACTTCTGATTCCCTACCTCCACCCACTCTCCCGCACCATCTCTGTAAGGGGCCTCTGCTTTAAAATGTGGGACATCGATCCCACCAGAACCCCCGCCGGCTGCCAGAGTCCGGCACCGAATTACAGGAAGGGATCTGAGGGGGCTATGGGTTCATCTCTGGCCAGATGCAGTCCAAACCCACATGCATCCAAACTAATGAAATCATCCCCCATCCCCCTGGCGCCCTGCGGGGTGCTGGAGGAAGTGCAGGCACCCCTGAAGGAGGCGGAGGAGACTCTGGCTACAGTTCTTGTCCCCACACGGTCCACACCCAGCGAACCAGAGGGGGCTGCAGGTGTCTCTAGCCCAGCTTGTCCCCTCTTTCCCCGGCACATCTGACTTCGACGCCCGGGAGTTTGATCCCCGCCACCGAGGCCCTAAAGCTCCTTCTTCCCCGACCCATTCCTCTCGGAGAAATGGGCTCACCGACCGATGCGCGCAACAGAAAGAAGGCGCAGAAATCGGGGCGCCCGGACGGGAGCCCTACTGCGGAGCCAGGAGGGCCATCCCCGCCGCCGCCCCGGGCTCTAACATTGGCCGCAAAGTTTTGCCTCTTTGGGGCCCCGCCACTACGCCTGCTGGTCGGAGCCCCCAGCGCAGCTCCTTCCCTCCGAGATGCCCGCTCCACGCGCTTCTGCCACCTGCCAGGGGACGCCGGGAGCGGCCGGGCGCGCGTGGTCGCAGCACTTGGAGCGCGCGGCACCGCCAGGAGGTCTCCGGCCGCGCCCGTCCCTCCCCCCACGCCCTCCTTCCGCGGGACCCGGGTCGCGGGGGTCCCGGGGCTCGCGGCCGCAGCGTCTTACCCAGTCCTGGCACGAAAGTGTTGAGGAAGAGGCAGATGACGGCCACGGGGAAGGGCATGTAGGGGATGGCGGCTCGCAGGGGGCCCTTCTTTTCGCGGACCTGCACCACCACCCCACTGGATGAGGACGCTCCCCGGGGGTCTGCCGCCGCCACCGCTGCGGCCGCCGCCGCCGTCTCGGCGTCTTTGTGCGAGGGTTCCATGGCGGGGCGCGCTCTCCGGCTGCCGAGCAGCGCGGCAGGGGCTGGCGCCCAGGGCACAGGAGCAGGCGACGGCCGGCTGCAGGCTTCGGGCTCCCGGCTCCGCGCCGAGCTCAAGCGGCCGCCGTGCTCCTTGCGCCGCGCTGCTCGCGGAGACTCCCGCCCTCCGGCGTCCCCACACGCCCGGCGGAGGGGCGGGGAGGGCGGCGCGACACCGGGTGACAGCACTCCGACGCCCCTCCTCGCCGGGCCCCTTCCCCGCCCCCGCCCCCCCAGCTGAAACCACCACTCACAAGGAATGGAAAATCAGGGCGAGGGAAGGCAGTAGAAGAGGACAGCAAAGGGAGCTGGTTGCCCAAGTGCTGGAAAGGGTGGACACACCTCGCCGTCCCAGACAGGTGAACTGGGAACCTCGACCACGAAGCCCTGCAACTGGGTGTGTGTGCTCGGCTGATGCCGTCGGAAAAGCCTCGAGGCTGAGTACCCTAATCTAGAGCATGCCTCTGGCCGGGGAGATGGGGACTGGGGACCGCGCGGCGCCTGACACCTAGTCAGCCTTCAGTGCATTGTGATTTAAATGATTTTGTTTGGAGCGAGCGCAGTGGCACTCGCCTGTACTCCCAGCACTTTGGGAGGCCAAGGTGGGAGAATTGCTTGTGCCCACGAATTCGAAACTAGCCTGGCTAATGTAGCGAGACCCCCATCTCTATTTTGTAAAATAATAATAATATTAATAATAAATGAGTGAATGTGTTTCGATTATCAGAGAAAAAGCAATCTTGGGATCGGATCGATAATGGGGGAAACAGATTTTCAAACACCATGCCAGGTCTCCAAAAGACTGGTTAAAAATGGGACACTTCCCCACACACACACGGGCGCGCGCGAACACACACACACACACACATGCTCACCAAAAGCAGAAAGAAAGGCGCCTGTTGCCGGCATGTTGGGAAGCATTCACCATCCCCTGAACTATGCTGGAGGAAACCTGGACTTTTTTGAGGCCGACGTGGTGGCCAAAGAGCCAGTGAGGGCCCGGCCACGCTGGCTCATGCCTGTAATCCCAGCACTTTGGGAGGCCGAGGCGGTCGGATCACCTGAGGTCGGGAGTTCGAGACCAGGCTGACCAACATGGAGAAACCCCCATCTACTAATAATACAAAAATTAGCTGGGCGTGGTGGCGCATGCCTGTAATCCCAGCTACTCGGGAGACTGAGGCAGAGAATCACTTTAACTCGAGAGGCGGAGGTTGCGGTGAGCAGAGATCTCACCATGACACTCCAGCCCGGGCAACAAGACTGAAACTCCGTCTCAAAAAAAAAAAAAAAAGCCCGTGAAGACACAGCGCCGTCTGGCGTTAATAATGGGGCAGTTGGTAGAAGCAACAGCCAGCAGCTTGAGGTCCTGTATTGAATTCGATTTACTGAATAAGGCTGCCTTTGCCTTGGCACCTGGAAAAAGTAAATGGATGAAAGTTACCACCTCTAACGTTGGGGAGGGGTTCAAGGCCTCGAAATTATCCAGACAGTCAGCAAATCGTCTGAATTGGAAAGGTGCAATATTCTTTCTTCAGGAATAATAGTGATTGACTCTATTATTATGAACGATTCAGGGTCTCAGAAGGAGGCTAAAAGAATATGGGTTCTTGTATAAGTCTCTGAATAAAGTAATTTTAAAAGCAAATGGACAGGGATTGGTGATGATACTGGTGGACACACACATGCATGTGTACACATACACACACGAGCCACTAGCTTAGGTTTGGCAGTCAGAAGAACAAGACTAGAAGTTTTAGTCTTTATTCAGCCACTAATTACCCATATGGCTTAGAAGAACTTGCTTATTATCCTTTTCTGGCGTGGAGTTACTGTGTGTGTGAAAATCAAAGCAAGATTCCATTTAATTCACACTTATTGAAGGCCTACTGAGACTCAGATAGCTAGTGTGGGGGAGGCTTCCGGAGGTGTCCCAAAGGAGGCAGTACTCAAGCAGACTTGAGAATGACCACGGTTAAATAGTTGCAGATTTGTGTTATTTTCAACAAAGGTATTTATCCAAGCACTCTCTGCCAGGCATCATTCTAAACAATTTACACATTTTAACTCTTAATCCTTACCATAACTCTACAAAGTAAGTATTCTTTCTTACCCCATTTTACAGATGGGGGAATTGAAGCACAGAGAAGTTAAACAACCTGCACGAAGTCCCCCACTAATAAGTGCAGAGCCGGCATCTGAATGGAGGCGGTCTGGGCCCAGAATCAATTCCGCATGGCCATTATTTTATTCAGAGACCTAGAAAATAACCCACATTCTTTGAATATTCTTTTGCAGAGGACTTGAACGGTCTTAAGGTCACTCGATCATTATTCCTGGAGAAAAAGGATTTCATGGAAGTCAGTGGATTCACCCCCCCTAGTTTTCCAGATGATTTGCTGAATATCTTGGATGTCAGGAAGATATCTGGGTAAAGCAACAAAATGTATAAAGGCATGGGAGCCCAAGGAAGTAGGGACGATTCCAGGAATTGCACTACAGCTGTGTGACCGAGACAGGAGCCAGATCTGGTGAGGTGGACAGGCATCTCACACTGAAGGACAAAGGAATTTGGACTTCATCTGGGTGGTGGCAATGCAGAATCACTGAAACATTTTAAGCAAGGGTGTGGCATAAGTGTTCCAGTTACTATCACTATGCCACAAATTTCCCCCAAGTTTAGCAGCTTAACACAACTCTTTTTCTGGTCATAAATTTCGTGGTCAGGAGCTTGGACAGAGCACACCTAGATAACTTTTCTTTGCTCCTTGTATCTGCAGTCTCAGCTGGGGAGACTCAAATGGCTGACAGCTGGAACTGCGGGGGCTAGAGGACCACTTTAAGAAGATTCTCAGGAATCTGGACTGAAATTGTCAGGAATCTCAGCCTGCCTGGACTAGGGTAACTTGAAAGCCAGGTAACTAGGATGGGTCAGTAGGTGCCTATCCTACCTACCTAGGATGGGTCAGCAGGTGGCCTCCCCACGAGACTTGAACTTCTCACAATATGACAGCTGGTTTCTGAGAGGGAACTTCCTGAGAGGAGGCCTCCAGAGAATGAACATTGCAGGAGCGGTGGAAGCTACATGGACTTTTCTGCCCTCACTTTGGAAGTCACACAGTGTGTCTTCTGCAGGGCTCTACTGGTTAATGCAGTCATGAGCCTGCCCAGATTTCATGGTGGACACCCCGCCGCTCAATGGAGGGGAGTCAAAGACTTTGGGACTAGGCTTTAAAACCACCATTATTATGAGATGTATTTGTTGGGAAGACCATTCAGTTCACAGTGTGGAAGATGGGCTGGAAGGGATAGAATAAGGTCACATGCTGATGGGGGAGGATGACTCTTCCTGACTAACAGAAACTGAGAATGGGGGAGGGACGGTTCCCAACTGAAAACGGGTACTAATAGCAGCCAACAAGGAAATGGGTTTGAAGGGTCTGAACACATCCGAGGGGTAGTGGGTACTCATTAATTAAATGGCCAGCATAGATAATTGTCTTGATATAAGTTGGATATTGAGTCAAATTGAGGCTCAAGAAAGCAATTGGGGCTGCAGATTTGGGAACCATCAGCATATAAATGGTAGTTAGAGCCCTATATGCAGATATGGAATTTAAAAAGTCATAGAGGTTGGGTACGGTGGCTCACGCCTGTAATCCCAACACTGGGAGTCTGAGGCAGGAGGATCACTAGAGCCCAGGAATTCAAGGCCAGCCTGGGCAACATGGCAAAACTCCGTCTCTACAAAAATTACAAAAACTAGCTCTACAAAAATTACAAAAACTATCTCTACAAAAATTACAAAACTCTGTCTCTAGAAAAATTACAAAAACGATGTGGTGGTGCATGCTTCTAGTCCCAGCTACTCAGGAGGCTGGGACGGGAGGATCACCTGAGCCTGGGGAGGTCAAGGCTGCAGTGAATCGTGTCGTGCCACTGCACTTCAGCCTGGGTGACAGAGTGAGACTCTATCTCAAAAAAAAAAAAAAAAAAAGAGAGAGAATAAAGAAAAGAAAAAAAATCATAGAATTTCTGTAATTAAGCAGAAAGGAAGAAGGAGGGAAATGAGGTTTACATGGTGAAACACTAACAGTGTTTCATGGAAGCCAAAAGAGGAAGATTTTAAGGAGGATAGTGTCAGCAGTGTCCAATCCACTGAATGGTAAGATTTGGCAGTTAGGAGATCCAACACTCTGGAATCCCAGCTGCAATGTCTCACACTCCATGTATCCATTTTCAAGGAATGTGTCCATTTCACGGAAGTTATGGAATTTGTTGGCATAACATTTTTTCTATTTTCCTCATATCTTTTTAATATCTGTCAAATCTGTGATGATGTCTCCTCTTTCATTTCTGATATTGTTCATTTGTACGTTCCTTTTTTCCTCACCACTCTTACAAGAGGATACAGCATTGACTTGACATTGTGACTGCAGCTGATATTTGTAGGAGAGTTTAAGTTCTGAGCTATTCCAGGTAGGAAGAGGTTTCCAAATAAGAGTTAAAACCTTAAATGATTATCTAAAAATATCAGACACTAACGCAACAGGGAAACAGACCAAACCGTTGATTACATCAGCCAAATAATACATCTGGGCCAGGCACTGGGTCATGAAGATAAAAATATGTTTTTTAATTGATAACAATGTCCAGGACTGGAACTAAGATCCAGAACAAATAAACTCAATAGAGCTCTCCATTTTAAACACACAAAATATACATCATCCACAAAATCTAACGGTATATCCAAAGATATACAAAGACTCAAAACAAGGGGATGGAAAAAAACTTACCAACCAAATGGAGAGCAAAAATAAATAAATAAAAAGCAGGAGTTGCAATTCTCACACTTAATAAAATAGATTTCAAAGCTACAAGGATGCAAGGGTAAAAGGATTAATGCAACAATAAGAGATCCTAACACCCAGATACATAAGACACATAATGAGATTTAGATTCAACGAGACAACATATTGATAACGATATCCAGGACTTGAACTCAGAGCCAGAACAAATAAACACAATAGAGGTCTCCATTTTAAACACATAAAACATGCATTAACCACTTTAAACACTCAAAATATTGATCGGCCATTACTGAAACCCATTTTAGGAATGAAGTAATATTCCTTTTTCCCTCTTTTTCTTTTTTTCCCCTT